TTGCTGATCTTAATACATTCTGAAAATAATTCTTTCATCACTACCGTGTCGTCGGTGCGATCAGCAGTCTCCTTCAACATTAAAAACTCACGAGAGAAAACCCAGCAAACCGTCCTGTGGGCGCCAGACATTTCAATGACGTTGTTCTTAGCGTGACTCTATCAGCCTCTTGAACGTCACCCAAACACATATGCCAACTCTGTCTGCTTTTAAATCAGTTACACGTTTTTACTGGCAGATGCGTGCGCCTGTTCTTTATCCTTTCAGTAGTTTCCTGTGTGTTGTCATCGATGGTATAGCTGATCTCATACAGACCCTCTGCTACCATCTCTACTGTACTCTCTGGACGGGATGCACAGATGCTCGTGTTGCGGAGTCTCGGGCCCCCGGGCGAGACGCCAGCCGACCCACCAGGACATAACAATACTAAGCAGTGCTCCATGGCTCTGGGCCCATTGTCCCCCACTGTCCCCCGTGCTGCTGACCCCACATATTTTATGAAGTCTTAGGCATTCCAGTGGGCTGTCATGGCTCATTAGGAGCTTTAGAAATGAACTCGCACAGCAGACTCTCTCAGTGATTAATTAACAGGGGCAGAGGGAGAACGTGAGAGCGATGGGAATGGTTAGGGCAAAGGTTCACTGATGGGTCCACATTCTGAGGAAATAATAGAAATCAATAAATACACACACACACAAACACTGTTGACTGGGTTGGGTATGTTTCACCTGCTCTCAACTTAAAGAAAGTCATATTTCTGGGTTTAATCGGGGAGTGAAGTCAAACTTTCCACACTGATATGATTACCGCTTTGAGGAGATCCCTCATATATCGTTTGTTTATTTTAATATCTTTGCTTGCATGTGAATATTTACTCCACAGTGGCTTTGTGACCACCACATCCTCTCTCCAGTTCAGCTGACAGTCTAGTGGGTTACTAGCGGTTATTTATAGTTGGACTGTGCTCCATGGCCGAACATGCCGCATACCAGACAAAACTGATGAACTCTTTAGATTGTTGGTGAACAGCATGGGAGGAACCACCCCTCTGCTCCTCTGAAGGCTGGCAGTCGTGTTTGTATGACTACGAAACGCCTCCTCGTGAAAAGTAGATGTTCTGCTTTCACAACATTGTGCTGAAGTTTACAAGAATAAAGGATTTGTTCTGGCTCAGAGGTAAAAGTGTGCTGATACTTGCTGTAAATCCACAAACTTCCTTCAAAACTCCTAAGTAAAGAGCAATCAAAGTTAAAGACTTCTACTTAAGATGATGGATGAAGTGAAAAGGTCAAGAGAAATGTTCTAGATTGGATTTCCCCTCTTCAACTACATGGACCACAGCTGGATTTCTTCCCCTCCATCTCCACTTTGTCCCACACAGTTATTCACTATGATCTCATGGTAGCTCGTAGGAGGCCATCATTGCTGGTTGGTAAGAGGAAGTTCCCATGGCGATGGGGTCGCCTTAGGCTATAAATATGTTGACTGCAGCACGATGGCAGGTCAAAGAGCAGGTGAGGACGCCTGCTCGGAGTAGCAGTGAGAATTTGTCTAGAATTGTTCCCAGGGTTTCTGTTGCAAGAAAAAAGTCCAACTAAACAAGTTTGAAGCTTATTGACTCTGCAATTGTTTTAAGTTGTAATTGAATCAACTGAATGCTTTGTGTTAGAAAGTGCTGTATTGTCCCTTATCCCTTGAGCCTCATCATTGCTTTAGTTATTGTAGTCAGTGGCATGACGGTCTCAAAAAAAGAAATGTTCCCACAAAACCCAGCCCTCTCTCAGCTCCTGCTGTTAGCAGATACAAAGCTCTCAAGTGTTTGAGCAGGTTATCCACTAACCAGAAGGTCAGTGGTTGAATCCCAGTCTTTCCCATTACGCGTGCCAAAGTGTCCTCGGGCAACACACTCAACCCCAAATTACTGTGACAGATTAAGTGCTGCACTGAGATTCTGTGTGTGAATGGCAGAAACCACAGTGTAAAAGCGCTTTGAGTGGTTATGAAGAGTAGATAAGAACTATCTAAATACAACCCATTCACACTGTTGCTCTCCTTTGTACTCAAGATGTTTCTGTGCAGATTTTGACGGGCGACACAAAATGTGGATGTGAAATTAATCAATGTTGTTAAATGCTCACGTTTCTGTTGTTGTGAGATTTCCGTTGAAGGTTCTTTTACTGTTTTATCTTTTTAGACTGAGGTCCATCTGTGGAACTTGCGGGTTATAGGTGTGGATCATATTGTTCAGGTTTATAATGTTTGAGTTTTGAGTTTTTGTTAGCTGATATCATTGCATAACTTTTCTGACTTTTTATTATTATTATTATTATTCTCTTATTGTGTGTCATGCCATATTTTACAATTTGCTTAAACCTGTAATTGTAGACTGTGTTTTAATACCTATAATGGTATAGAAGGCAGGTTGACAATATTGTGGACAACAGCTGCTGTGTGTGCCTCACATTAATCTATATTTCATATTGTGTGTTTTTAAGCAGGGTGCACCGAAAGTTTCAATATGTTGCACTTCAACCTGAGCTGATTAATTTTGTGGTAGCAACCAATCGCTGACCACTGCATGAACTGATGGACAAACATGTAAAAACTGTGCAATTACACTTCTTATATTGATACCAGATAATGATATGATGATATAATGATATAATGATCTGGTTTAAAACAGAAAAAAACATCATTACCATTTACATTTCACAAAAAAAAACAACCCACAAACTTTTCCAAACCTTTGTCACTCACAGTCCCTCTGTTGCCTAAACCAAACCACAGACGGACACTGGATATGAAGCCTGGTTTCTAATGTAGCAGTCATGCACTCTGTACACTCACCTTCCCCTCTGGCTGCTCAGCTGCTGTTAATAAATATAATCCTTCATTCATTAAAAAATCTGTGGCCTCTGACCATGATCCAGCTGATTTTGAATTTTTTTTAATCTTTATTCAAGAGCGTGGTCTCTCAGTTTAAGAGCAGGCCTTGTTGATTTCACGTTAGATTTTTGTAATGCTTTCTCTCAAAATTCTGTGGTCACACTCAAATAGCCCCTGCTTGTGCTTGGATTTGCTCTGCTTGTGCCCATATTGTGTGCATGCACTCAGATATTTTCCTACTCTTGATCTTTAAGTCTTGTAGGCTGCCTCTGTGCCCTTCTGTGGATGTTTTAGCTTTACTTCATTGAGAGTCCAGGTTATGGGTTCATGCAGTGCCATCCTCCACAGCTGTATTATTACACAATTATGCACAATTAATGGACTCACAATGAGGGCGGTACAATTTCATTTGTCATCCCTTGACCTGTTGGTTGGGGAATTTAATTTGTTGCCCAAAGAAATCCAAGAGCAGACTTGTCACATGCACACAGAAGCAGCATGGGCGGGGGAAGAGCTAAAGCTTTGTTCAAGCAGCCGAGTTTGAGCACAAGCAGAGGAAATCCAAGCACAAGCAGTGGCTATTTCAGATCAAGGTATTGAATGAAAGCATTACAAAATCAGAACTTGAAATCAATGAGTCCTGCTCTCAAACTGAAAGACTGCACTCATGAACAAAGATACGAAACACCCCGTTATTATGTTTCCTACAAAGTGTATTTGCTGTTGTAGTTTAGTTGTATGGAAACTTGTTTGTAGGAGACAGGGTTGTATGGTTGTGAACATGTTAGCATGATGTTTATAGCCCTAAACAACACATTTGAGGCTGATAGGACTGTCAGGAGTTTTGCTGGTGTTGGTCATACTGGATCCATTAAAAATTCAGCTGATGATGGCACTCAATAAAAAATGTATATGCAAAGCTATAACAATTTATCCTGGGAACATGAATGTCTTTACTAAATGGAGCGATTTTCTAAAAAACAAACAAATCAAGATCCTATAGCGATAAATAAAAACCAAAGAGGTCAACAAAGCATATTTCATCCTTTTCAGCTTGAGAAGGCAGTTTTATAGATATACATATATATGATTCAACACAGACATAACCAGCTCTGCTATTCTCTACACTAACATTTCCAAAAGAGCATCTGAGAGAAAGACTTTTCCTCAACTGTCTCTGAGGACTGTGTGAATTTTCAGCCCTGTTTAACAGACTACCCATCTCTTTATACATTCACACACACACACACACACACACACACACACACACACACACACACTGAACTCAAACCCTCTGACAGTGGGCGTGGAGGTTATTACTTATTATACTTCTTATTCTGCTCATGAATAAGTAAAGAGGAGGCCTGAGACACACTCAGCCCACTTAGCAGACACATACTAAGACACCTGCTCCTTGATGGCTCGGGGTTATATCCACCCACACCCACACACAAAAACACACACGTTCACACCCACGCACATACAAATTCCCGGTCTCCTCCCTTTCAGCCCCTCCTTGTCTTTGTCCTGATTGCAGCCCCAGGGGGTAGACAGTTAGGTAAGATGGCACTGCAACTCTAATGTCTGATAGTAATATATTCACACTGCAGTAATGGAGCACAATATTGTATTTTTATGAATATCACACTCTTATAGACACATGGCAATCTCCTTTTTTTCTCTGAGTTGTGGGGGATAAACAAGCTGACCATGACTCCGTTTAATATGAAATCTGAGTAGAGCCTGCTCCATGCGCTGTGTACATGTCATATTTATTTATTTGTGTGTGATCTCTTCCCAGCGAGGTCAGTGAAAGGTCTGAGGAACCTCTTCAATATTTAAAGGAGTTTTTATCTCTAATGTGAAGGCTCTCAGTGTCCACAAAGCACTCTCCTCAGAGGTGTTGAGTGATGGCTGTGGAAATGGGAACTGTGAGTTGTTGTTGTTTTGAATGTTTCACATGTGAGTGGCTGCTGGTGTGGTGAGTGTGTGTAATCGTGAACCAGATGTTGTAACATTCTGAAAAACAAGGTGTTGAGAGTCACCGTGTATCTTGCTCACCGTCTGTCACTGAGTCACGTCTCAGTCTGTCTTGTCTCTCTCTGTTTTTACAGATTATTAATCATTCACAGACAGAGGAAAGAATGGGATATGACTCCAGGTGATAAGGTGGAGGAAGTCTTCTGCTCAACAAAGACAATAAATGGTGAGATGTTATTTCCAAATGTATTTGGATCTTGCAAACTGCATTTAAAGAAGAAGGTTGGCGATATTATATTTGATTCTTTTGGTCAACAATTCTCATGAAAATAATAAAAAACTGAGTCTGTTGCCCAGTACTTTCCAACTTCTCAAGCCTGTGCGAGGCACAAATAACCCTGCTAAGCATTTTATGTAAAACAGTAGGGTACTGTGGATTTTAGCTGAGTGTACACAATAGTGAATTTGTTGGGAATGTACTAAGTACGCAAATTGATTGAATGAGCTCATCAAGAAACATATCCTCAAATGCAACAGCATAGCTCATACAGATTCAGCTTTTTTGTCACGTTCGACATTACAGCATACAGTACAGGGAACTGAAATGCTGCAGTCAGGGGATGTTTAAAGTGCAAAGTGTGCATATCTGTCAGTCACTGCAGTGGATTGAAGTGTTTGTAATTGGTTACAAAGATTGATAGTAACTAGAAAACACATTGGGCTTGTTAGTATTTTTCACAGAAGATAAGCTGTGTTTTTCTGTTAACGTTTTCTGTCGAGGGTGGAATTGAAAATCAACCGTGTGTGTGTGTAATAAGAGCTAGCTCACGCCATCTTATCATTTTCTCAGCCTTAAACCTAAGCTTTCTAAAACTCTTAAACTTGTGCTGTACTCAGCTACATGGAAGCCGCTTTAGCCTTATTAAATGTTGATGTTTAACCTCAGACATCTGTTTGTACAGTGCTGTAACCCTGCTCTGGTTTTCCCTTCAGAATATTTGCCATGCTACATGGGAAGGCTCTGAACTCCACCCTGCTCTTGCTTCTCATCCCCATCGTCTTTGTTTCTGCCCATGGTCGCTCCTACCCCTGTTTTTCCCGCAATGACACCGAATTCCAGCACCTGGTGCTCCACCCAGACCCCTCTGTGGGGACGGTGTATGTGGGGGCCCGGGACCACCTCTTCCAGCTGGACGGATTAGACGGACTCCGGCTGGAACAAGAGGAGATGACCGGCCCCGTCAGCGACAGCAAAGACTGTCTTCCACCGGTCACTGAGTTCAACTGTCCCCAGGCCAGAAGAACCAGTAATCACAACAAACTACTGTTGGTGAACCCTAAGGCTTTGGAGCTGATCACTTGCGGCAGCGTCCACCAGGGCACCTGCCAGAAACGCAGGCTGTCATCAATCAAAAAGGTTATCTTCTCCACTGAGAGGCCTGTGGATACTCAGTATGTTGCGGCCAATGATCCATCAGTGTCAACTGTTGGGCTGGTGGTCAGTCTCCGTGGCGGGGAAAGAACAGTAATGTATGTGGGCAGGGGCTACACTGCCAGCCACCCACCCATCTCTACCCGCCACCTGTCATCAGCGCCCATCTTTTCCTACGAGGAGACAGCCAAGCTGGCTGTAGCAGGGCGCCTGTCGGAATATGACCACCATTTTGTGACAGCATTCACACGGCACACATACGTGTACTTCTTGTTTTATCGCCGAGACATCAAGTCTGCATCAAGGGAGTACCGCACCTACGCCGCCCGAGTGTGCCAGGATGACACCTCCTACTACTCATATGTGGAAGTTCCTCTTGTCTGCCGATCCCCGACCTCTCCCTCAAGGACATACAACCTGCTCCAGGCAGCCCAGGTACTTCTATGTGTTATATATATATATATATATATATATATATATATATATATATATAATATATAATGCAGGGAGCAGCAATGCCAAATAACCAGTAGTTGAATTTCTTTCTTTATTGTCAGAGAGTCTGATTTTCAAGTCTTGTTTCCATCAAATGTTCCACTGACACTCTATGTAACCTTCGCAAGATGTTCCCATGCTTTTGTTGCAACAGGTGGGACAAGGTGCAGGCCAGCAAGGCGAGGATCTGCTGGGAGTCTTCTCCACCCACATCAGCTCCATAAACAACAGTCCCTTGGATGCCTCGGCCCTGTGCGTTTACCCTCTGGATGAGCTTGACAGACACATCGACTCCACCCGCAACCTCTGCTACACCCAGGATGGGTGGTTGGAGGGAAAAGGAGAGGTGGCCTACATAGAGTACGAGGTCAAGTCAAGCTGTGCCAACCTGCCCCGGGTAAGTCAACAGGAGAGTAAGGGGTTTGTATTTTTTTGGTGTTAATGCGTCAACATCACCCTGATGGGAGGCTGATATTTTCTCTAATGGAAGAAAAGCAAATATTTCTGGATTTTAAAACAATGATTCTGTCAATAACCTGCTCATATGAAATAACGGTTTCTCTCTGGTAACCTCAGCAGAAATGCCTGCAACAGCAATTCCTCTCTATGTGTTTGTTACAGTTTGGATAATTACCTGGGCTCTGCCTCATTATGAATTATTTCCTGCTGTCTTCCTACCTGGAGTATATTGACTTACTTGGTTTCAGTGTTCTGAGAAAGACAAGAGAGGACATAAAACCCAATAACAAGCAATTGCTTCACAGTCAGATTAGGTTGAGAAACAGGAAGAAATCGTGACTATAGCAAATGGATGGTTGGGAGTCTTGTAATGAGTTGTTGAAAAACCTCAGTGCTTACAAATGCCCCTGGAGTAGTTTTGCCCAGCTGCAGCCCTCCAGTGCTGCAACCCCTCTCTTCCCCCCACCCCGCTGCCCTGCATCCGCTCTGGTCCTGCCAGCCCTCAGAACCATTTAATGGGATCGTTAGGGATCAATAAACCAAACTAACCCTGAATCAGCTGCGCTGCTGCTTAATGAGCTCTGACAAGGAAGGATTGGAGTTCTTTTGAAACCCACTGACATAAGAGGACAGAGAGTGAGAGAAAGGAAGGGGGGAATGGAAACATGGGAATAGAGAGATTGTTGCACACACAGTAACAGGGAGAAAAAAATGTAGAGATGGAACAAAGAAAAACAGAGACGAGTGAAGAAAAAGAGGACAGGAAAGATGTAATCGATAACAGACCTCAGCTATCTTATTTGTTTTAATAAACAAAGTACAAATATAGACATAAAAAAACCCATCTCGTTCTACATCCTCCATCAGGTCAATTATCTGCAGCCAGAGCTAAAGATGCATTTTAGTGCTTGTTTGGCCAAACCCAAAGAGCAAGTCTCTGAATGAGTGTGTTTTAACCTGTGGTGCAATCCTCTTATAATGAATTAAGAGGATTCTGAGGCTCTGGGGAAATAGAATACAAACCACCTAACAAAGCTTTCTGTTTGGTCTGATTTTTGTAGAATACTCTAAAGGCGTATCCCTGTGGCTCTGACCACACCCCGAGTCCAATGGCGAGCCGGGCACCTCTGGAAGCTAAAACCGCCTGGCGCACCTCAGCCGCCCGTCTCACCGCTGTGGCTGTCAGTGTCAGAGACGGACACAGCATTGCCTTCCTAGGAGACGCCAAAGGGACTCTACACAAGGTAGCCCATCCCATTCACTTTTATACATATTTTTATTCTTGTGCAAGTTTCCTTGGGCCCTTTGTCCTGCCCCAGCATGCACTAGGTGGCAGGTAGGGAGACGCCCAACAACAAACAGTGCATCAGAGGGATAACAAAGATCTGTGTGTGGGAATATTTAGACCATTAGACAATTTCTTACTTAGGTAGTTTCCAAATTTGTGAATCACTGCAAGTGATCACAAGTGTTGGGGCTTACTGAATGTTGTCATCTGGACAGCCCTGCCCTTGAGGCTGTTATCATCTGCTCCTTTTAAGGATATCCATGAATCATTCCCCAGCAAAGCAAACACCTGACACCACATAAAACATTTACCATCAATTTCAGGCATTTTTCTTTCCAAGTCTACGCTGCTTGTCTAAGTATTTATGCATCGCTATGTAACTACAGCCTGGAAGATTCCAGGCATTCTGACATTCACAGTGTTCCAACATACACAGACCGGCATACCGACATGATCCCATGCTTAATGCATTTGCTTTTTGTTCTCTGGGCTGCAGCGTGTGATTGTTGGAGACTTGATGCATTTTTGAGCTACTGGAGTAAGTTTTTTTGCTCGACTGGTGGAATGTGTGGCCCAAAATAGATTTGTGGTTTTGGTCTTAATTTTTCCAAAAATAGCTGTATATCACCACCTTCTGCATAGATCTGATAGTTACATGTAGAGACTGAGATACAAGGTTCTCTGCTATGAGCTGTGTGTGTGTGTGTGTGTGTGTGTGTGTGTGTGTGTGTGT